TTCTAATCCCCCTTATTTTGTCTGTCCAATCAAACACACCCTATCTATATTAGTTTTGAGCATTTTAAACTTACTTAGAAATAGATCAATTTAATTATTTCAAAACTATGAAATTTATAGTGCAATTTATCTACAAAATTAATATAAAATAATATGGAAAATTCTAATTTTATGATTTTAAAATAAAAGGTTCACCTATTTATAATTTTAAAAGGTTCACCTATTTTAAAATAAATTTTATAATCCCAAGAATTTTCTTACAGACCAATTACTCCCATTGATTTTGAAAGGGTATATGCTATTTAAAAATTAGATTTACTGTTATACACTTATTTCTATTATGTTTTTTTCTCTTTTTTTCTTTTGTGCTAGAAAGGTAAGGCATACAATATATGAGAATCAAATTTGAGATGAATTTTTATATGAAAATCTTTTTATTTGAAAAACATTTCAAAATGAGTACAAAAATGACTTGAAATATGAGATTTTTTAAATATCCCAAAAGGATGTGGAATTCTTCAAATATTTCAAAATAGTATAAAAACTCCTTAGTAAGCCTTGGGTAAATGTATAATTTTAAACTGTAACACTTCAATATAATACTCAAATGTAACACTTCAAAAAAATCCTTAGTGCACTTTTCTCATACTTAATACTCTAATATAACACTCGGGAAATTTTTTTTATTGTAACACAAAAAAAAATCTTAGTGTACTTTTTCCAAACATAACACTCCAATTTAACACTACTCCTTGGTGTAACACTCTAATTTAACACACAAAAAATATGTGAAATTTTTTAAATCATTCTAAAAGGATGTGAGATTTTTCAAACTATTCCAAAATGAATACAAAAATTCTTTAGTAAGTTTTGGACAAATATATAATTTCCAATGTAATACTCCAAAAAAAAGATGTGTGATTCTTCAAACTATTCCGAAAGAACGTGAGATTCTTCAAACAATTTCAAAAGGAGTATAAAAATTCCTTAATAAATTTTTAGCAAATATATAATTTCAAACTGTCAATATTACGTTTAGAAAAAGTATTCCAATGTAACACTTCAAAAGGATGTGTGATTCTTCAAATCATTCTAAAAGAATATGAGATTCTTCAAACTATTCCAAAAGGAATATAAAAATTCCCTAGTAAGTTTTGGGCAAATATATAATTTCAAACTGTCAGTGTTATGTTTGGGGAAAAAAAATAGATTCATGAGTTTTTTAGTGTTTTTTGTGTTATATTAGAGTATGTTATATTGGAATATTACGTTTGGAATTATATTGATTGAAGTGTTACATTTGGAAAAAAATATACTAATACTGTGTTTGGTTGGGGGATTTGTAAAGGGAAATAGAAAATGTAGATGAAATGTGAATAAAACATATTCAGTGTGTTTGGTTTGAGTTTTCTGGATTAAGTTTTTTGAAAACTAAGGCCTCGTTTGGCAAGTGACTTTTTTAGCCAAAAAGTCAAAAAATCACTAAAAAAATCAAAAAGCCAACGATCCATACCAAAAAGTCAAATATTTTCCATTTTCTCTATTTTTTTCACATCTTTTCGTAAGAAGTCAAAAAGTCATCTCAAACATACTAGCTTTTTTTTATATCATATTTTAGCAAAAAAGTCAAAAAGTTACTAAAAATGCTTGTTCCCAAACGAGGCCTAAGTTTTTTGGTTTTCTTATTTTTTTGTTTTTAGTGAATATTTTTAAAATTTTAAATATTTTTTTTTTACTTTTTTAGATGCACCTTACTTAGATGTATCTAAAAAGTAAAAAATTTATGAAAAAATATTTTAAAAAATTAATAAATACATAAAAATACAAACAATGTACTGAATTCTTGTATTTTTGGTATTTAGTGAATTTTTAAAAGTTTTTTTTACAATTTTTTTACTTTTTAAGTGTATTTATGTTAGGTATATCTAAAAAGTAAAAAAATTGCTTAAAATATTAAAAAAATCAATAAAAACAAAAAAACACGAAAAAAAAAGTAGAATTTTCTGAAAAGTGTTTTTTGGAAAATGAAAACAAGCAAGCTGATTTATATTTCACCTAATTTCACACACTTTTTCTCATTCCCTTTCCAAATCCCTCCCAAAATCCCCCAACCAGACACAACGTAAAGAATTTTTTTGTGTTATATTAGAGTTTTACGTTTGAAAAAAGTATACTAAAGATTGTATTGCATTTGAGTGTTATGTTTTTGTTCGTAATGTGAAATTTGTTCCAAAATAAGGAAAAATTCAAAACTTATATAACGAGGATTGCTCAAATATATAATTTCACATGTGAATAAATCCAAATTTATTCCTAAAAAATTAAATCCAAATGAAAGTGTCCACTTTTTTGTATAATTTAAATTTTAATGAAACTTTTGAATTTATAAAAAAAAAAAAAACAGGTTACGTTTGGTAGAGTTTTGTAATTATGATTTGAAAGTATGAGTTGTATTTTGAATTTGTGAGGTTTAGAATTATGATTTGAGTGTAGAAAATTTGTTTGATGAGAATTTTAAAAATAGTTTTGAAAAGAGTTTTGAATTGAGCAGGGAATATTTGATGTGACATTTGATATTTGATACAAAAACTTACAACTCATAATCAAAATACAACTCAAAATTATTTTAAAGCACATACAAATTTTTAAAAAATTCAGAAAATATTTTTTTTGAATATATAAAAATTAACATATCAATTGAAAAAAAAAATTACTGTTCTGGTCAACCGGCTGGACAACCGATTAGGCCAAATTTCAAAAAATAAATTGAAAAACGCGTCTGTCAAAACAGAAAACTGCGCCTCAAACAGTGTGTTTTCTGCAGAGTTTTGAAAATATCATTTGAGAACTCTAACCAAACACCATACTTAAATTAAGTGTGGAATCGTGATTTGAAATCACAACCAAACATAACTATAAAATCGCATTTTAAAATTTATTGGTATTTCACCATTTTTAACAATGCTATCTATCTATACTATATATATAAACAAATGTAGTGGAGTATGAGAATTCTTCAAACTCTTAATACTAAATTCTTATGGATTCTCTCTCCTACGTGTCATTTCTCAAGTCTCCCCTCTCACTTTTCCTAATTTTTAATCATTTGTCAATTATCTAAATCTCAAAAGCTAAAAGGATTATATTTATTTAAATAAAATGATAAATATTTAAATATGAACAACGAATAGGTAGAGATAAAAATATAAAATAAAAAGATAACTATTCAAATTTCAACTACAAAACAATATAAAGAGTCAAATAAAAGATGAAAAAAATAACTAAATAAAAAATATTGAGAGTCAATTAATTATAAAAATAAAAAATTAACTATTTATATATGAATAATTAAAAAAAATATATTACGAGTCAAATGATTTTTAAAATAAGAAGGCAATTATGTATATGTGAATAACAAATAAATATACATGAAAAAATATACAAAAATAAAAATATAGCTATTTAATGAAAATTCAAATAAAATATAACAAAATATTTAAATAAAAAAAAAGAATAAGATTGGGATATAAATATCCCAAAAAGATGATAATTTTTTTAACAATCTATATTTATCTTTTGTTAGTTTGTTTTAGAATTTCTATTTTTAAAGTTTATCTTTAAGTGAAACTTAATATTTTATCTTTTAAAATTATCAATTACTTATCCATACAAATTTTAAACATGATAGAATTCCATATATATCTTTTGTTTAAGCATAATCTTTTCAATATAAAAATAAGTTCCTGCAAAATTAACCATGAACAGAAAATTAGGAGGTGAAACAATCAACATTGAGCCATTTCTGATCCCTTTAAGGTGCCTAAAAATTTTAAATATTTGCTTTTACATTTGAAATGTATACTTGCATGAGTTTTTGCATTTGTAAGAAAGTGAGTTCATATAAATGGATTTTTTTAAATTTTTGTTTGTTTGTTACAATCTGTATTTTTCCTTATTTCTTTCTTTATGTTAATAATGTGTCATTTAATTGAGATTTTATTCTTTTTTTATATTTATAAAAGCACTGCTATCATTAATTTGTAACTCTCTCTCTTATTGATTATTTGTGTTTATTTTTTATTTTTTTTGGTGTAGATGTTAGATTGAAAATGAAGAACACATCAAAATTTATTGGATATGGGTTATACTTTAAATGTATTCATCAGTTGATTTTTTATTATTGATTATCCTGTTGAAGTAATTCATGATTAAATTTATTTTTAGTAACTTATTTATTTTGAGAACTAAACCACAAATTTCTTCTTTTTAAAATTTTATTTATTTATTTATTTGGATTCAGAGTTTGAGCAAATGGACGATATCTCATATTTAAAATGTTAATTTTTTTTTGAATAATTTAAATATTATATTCTTTAAGTTTGTCAATTCAAGTTTAACGCATTTTCAAACTTTTTTATTTTTTATTTTTTTATAATCATTCCAAACCTATTTGTGTTTAATGAATCAATATAACGAAAAAACAAATAGCATGGAAACAAATTTTAACCACTAACTGAATATAATGGGAATTAAAATTAATTTTATTTTAACTTATTATATTATATGAGATGATTAATGTAATATCTACTATTGATTAAGCAAAATTAGTGTTACTTTTATTTAATATATTAGTCATTTTGATTAATTATAATATGCCTTTGTTAATCTGCTTTTGGTTGTTTGAAGTAATTCTTAGATAAATTAGCTATTATATATGTGATGATTTACTAATATATGATAGTTTTTTAAAATTTTTAATAATGTGAAATATTAAATATTTTTAATGATGTAAAGTAAGATTTATATACACAAATCAAATAAAAATATTAAAAAAAATAAACAAATAACAAATTTTTTTTAAAGTAATTATTGACTTTCTAAAATCCGGTGCATCGCACGGTAACACTAGTATTACCATATTAGCATGTATCATTTTTTAATTTTTATTTATGTGCCTTGGAGTATTCTTCCTTGTCCCGACCCGACCCATAAATTTACTTGTGGGGCTTTGCAGGCTAAGAAAGCAAGGACGAGAGAGAGAGAGAGAGAGAGATGGGCAGCGGGAAGCAAGAGAAGCGTTCAAAAAGCAGCCTCCCAAAGAAAAACCCTAAACGAAAACGTCTACCTCTCGGCCCCAATAGACCCCAGAAGAAGAAGAAGAAGACCAAAACCACGTCCCACAAGACGGAGAACAACAATGAAACCAAAAACAACAATCACAGCATCGTTACGGCGGCGGCTACATCGGCTGAGCAGCTGAGTTTCTTCGTGGGTCAATATCAATCAGCCAATGCCATTCAACTCTCTTCCCTCGAGCTCGAATCTATCACTGGTGGTTTTTTATTTCTCTCTTTTATCAAATTGTTTGCTTCATAATTTGGGTTCTCTCTCTCTCTCTATACATTTGTTATGATTGTTTTAATATGATACAAGGGGGGTGTCAAGTAATTTTTTTTAAAAATTTTTATGTCCTATATTTGATTTATTGAAAGTTTACTGACTGTGATGAGAGGCATTGGAAAAGGATTGGTTGTGAAATGAAAGAGTTTTTGGCTAAAATTAAAGAAATTGACTTGAATTTAAGTGAAAGATAAAAATAAAAATAAATTGGGTAGAAGACTAGGATTTTAATGACTTTAGGATAAGTGTATGAGTCCACCATTTTGAATATTAGTACTTGAGCTGATATTGGAAGAGTGATTCAGAGGATTTGGTAAAAATTTTCAATTCAATTTCAAATGTACTTTCCTAATTGGGTGCAAAAATGCATGTGTGTGTTAGTAATTAAAGGATGCAATCAGATGGCATGGTATTGTTAGCCAAGTTGAAATTCTTATAAATTATCTATAAAATGAGATGCCAACTAGGGCATGTCTGATTGCTGGTTTTGCTTAAGAAAACATATAAGCTCTCACATATTTGGCTTTGCTTTGCCAGTCCAATACTGACTCTTGGTACATGGTGCCTTTGGTGGAAGTTAATCAATAAGCTTTACCAATTACAGGGGCCTTTGTTTCATGGGATTGAGGCATGGGATTGGACTCCATGTCTAATAGATTTACTAGTCCTTTGTTTTGTTAGAAAATAAAGTCTGACTAATAGTCAAATACATATCATTTCAAGACTATTCATCTCAGGACTAACAGTCCATTGCAGTGCAATCCCCCCTTATTCAGTCAATTCAGACAAACACCCCCAATTAGTATTATGGTTTAGAGCAAAAAACTCAAGTTCTTGCTTTGGTTGCATCTGTAATTCTTGTTCCTTAATGCTTTTACTCTTTTACATAATTAGATATATACATCTCCCTCTGGTAATAAATTACTCATTCAGTTTACCTGGATTATGCAGATAAATGTATTCTCAAGCTATCTCAAGGCCTGGCTCAAAGTTCTAACAATTTAGGTGAACATATGAAGGCTGCTTTTGGATCATCCTGGAGAGAAGTGCTTTGTGGAAAACAGATCTTGGAAGGAAAGATTGATCCTGGGAATCCAGCACTTCTTGTTATTAGTTTATCTGCCTTGAGATCATTAGAACTTCTTAGGTGTGATGCTTTTTTCCTATTTATTTGATATAGAAATATTATTTGAACCTTCTAAGGATCCATGGCACACTTGTTCTATCCAACCTCTTTGAGTAATTATGACTAAAGAATATGTTCTGCTTCTTTAGGGGTTTGCAGGCTTTGACCAAAGAATGCCATGCTGCAAAGCTATTTTCAAAGCATATGAAGGTTAATGATCAGGTAGTGTCTCTACCTTCTATGCAATTTATGTTAGTTCTAGATCTGGATATTAAAGTGAAGAGCTGTTTTAAAATATTGCATGTAAGTTGAATACTTTTTGTGTTTAAAAAAGTTTACATAGCTGAAAATGAGGATATTTTGATACAGGAGTAGTTAGGAAGAAACAACAGTACCATTGGCGAAAATTTTTGGTAACTGCAATTGTGGATAAAGATGAGAATGTCATCAGGGTTTATGATGATTTAATCACTATAGTATTAGAGAGTTTCTAAATGCACACACTTATAGTGTCTTTCAACACCCACCTCCTTTTTGTACCCACTCACAAAATTTAAATTTTAAATGTTTTTTACACCCACCTTAATCCCAAAACTAACTCCATATTCAACCTCTTCACACTGTACACCCACCCATTCCTCTTTGTAAGTTGATTATTTAAAATGAAAAGCTAATTTCAGTATCATGATGTTTAGGTTTTCTATTTCTATATTTATATATTTTTTGGTAAGTGGATTTTCCATGTTTTTGTTATGTGTGGGGAGCAATTGTTTTTTTTTGTTTGAAGACATGATCACAATTATTATAAAAATGTTTTCTCTAGGCCTTCATGAACTTGTAACTGTGTTATTTTGACGTGCACCAAAAAGAAAGTATTATTTGAATACAACTTTTGAACTATCCTCCTCATTCTCTATTACTTTCCATTCATTAAATTAGAGTAGATTTAGAACGTATGCATTTATTTATCATTATTCCTTTTAATTTGATGTAGGTGTCCTTTTTAAAGAACCGTGTTAATATTGCTAGCGGGACACCAAGCAGGTAAGTGATCTTAGTCTGTTTTTTTATTTGATGTTTTGTGAAGGCGTTGGCTCTGTAAGGCATCTCTGGCTGGAAGGTTACCCATTTAGTCTGTCAATGTCACGAACCGCTCCCCGTACCCAAGGATTAAGTATCATGATGGCTAGTAACTGAAGTTATCTTCGGTCAATTCTTAAACAAATTACTAAACGCGAGCGGAAAAAATATTTAAGTGAAAGTACCAAAATAATCATTGGAGTTTCTATTTTTATAACAAAATTTATTGACCAAAAAGGCCAATATTTACATATGAAGAATAGAATTATAAATACTATTAAAGTGTTGTGTGTTTATTCCGTATCCCCTCGTCTAAGACTCTCCAGAAGCTATGTCTAAATTTGCATTGTTTCCTGAGAATTGATAAATAGCTATAAGCACATGGCAGAGAGAAATATTATACTAAGAGCATAAGGGTATAAAATTCACCATGGATAATTATTGGCTAAACAAAGCTTGATATTAAAATATAGAGTATATAATACAAAGATCATTTGACATATAATAAAGAAGTCATATAAACAACATAATCATAACCATGGTATAGAACGGAACATAACAGATGTATGGACTCAAGAGGTGGCTCGTACGAACTCTAGAAGTGGCTCTCACTTTAGTGTAGCATTTAGCTCTGTACAGCACTTTGCTCCATATCAGAAATCATAATCACGGTACGGAACAGAACAGATGTATGGATTCAAGAGGTGGCTCATACAAACTTTAGAGGTGGCTCTCACAATAGTGTAACACTTAGCTCCGTACAATACTTTGCTCCACACCAAAAATTAGAGGGTCAGTGGATCCATGATAGACAGAGGGTCACAAAGTGACTAATCAAAGGGCCATTGGTTATTTAAGTCCACCAAGACATGGGACTCCCGTGGTGATACTTACAAAACAATTATTCAAAACATATTTTAATAAATAGTTATATCCACGGGTTTTCCTTATTATATAAAATAAGGCTTATAAATTAAAAATGCTAATATAATTTATAAAATACAATTTACATAAAATAAACTATGATAACTCAAAATATACGTAAAACAGATTATGGTGACTCAAGGTATAGTATAACTCACTTTAATGTTAATTCTAACTTTTACCTTTCGTTCACCGTGACTCACTAAACCCTCCAAACTAAACTCAAAGTTTTATATATAAACCAAACAATTAGAGGCAGAGAGAGAGACTAAGAGTGTTGATGAGAATGCTGTTGATGGATAGCTATATATATAGTGAAGAAGGCGTGTGGAGCAAGACTGCTTGGGACGCAAGTCGTTTGTTGTATAGAAAATGTTACATTTCAGTGTATTTTAGTCTAGGAAAAATATAAAGAAAAATATAATAAAAATATCATAATACTCATAAAATAATTTCGAATAATAATATAAAGTTAAAATTATTTTTTTGAAATTATTTATAATTAAATAATATTAATATAAAATTTAAGGGACAACTTAAATTTTCGGGTTGTTACAGTCGAGGTCCTTGATTATTTTTGGGTCTTTGAGATAGGTAGGTAAACTAGCCTTTGTTTTGGGAGCTAAATTAAGGAGGCAATGTATTTTAGTTGGAATAAGGTTAAAAAGAAGTGAGAGTGATAAATTGATAGTGCTGCAAGCATTGCACTAGGGCACTAGGGCGTGATTCTCTTACCCTTTCTGATCAAACCTACATGCCAAATTTAGGTTTCTTCATTTGGTATTTTCTTGTCTTCATCCTTGAGTTTTTCTGTCTTTATGCATGCAAGTTGTATCATGTTGCCTTGTATATAAATTTCAACTTCTTTTTAGTTTAGTTTACTACTCCTGTGTTTGTTTTTTATGTAACGGTTTTGTATTGTGAGCGATCATTGATGATGTGACAGACTGTGAGTCCTCTGAAAATCATAGTTGTCACTAAGCTGGCGTTCGCCCTTTGTAGTTGGAGAGGGAGGGAGCTGAAGCAATCTTAGAGAGAGAGAGAGTGACACCGAGGGAGGAGTGCCTCTGCTGTATAGAGAAACTGTTTATCTTTTGAAAATTGCTTGCTGCCCAAGGAGGGGAAGACCTCTTTTTATAGGACTTGAGTCATAGGAGCCAACTTACTCTCATCCTTTTTACTTCCTGTGCATTTATTTCCTTGTTCACCCAAACAAAGAACCTTGTTATTTTTTGTTCATTTGTGTTTTTGGAATGGATCTTCTCCATTCCATTATGCAGATCTAATTTATAATTTTTTTTTCTCCTTAATTAGCGGGCTTTGCATTTCAATTTACTTTGTCGATTATGCTGTTGTGGTGACAAGTGAAATATCATTTATCTTTATTTTTTAGTCTTTTTTGTTTGGGTTCATTAACCTATTAAGTTGTATAAAATGATTTTGTAAAATCTCAAATTTGTTTTAGGATCAAGAAGTTGATTGATATGGAGGCACTGGGATTAACACGATTAGCAGTGATTGTGCTTGACATGCAAACTGATGTTAAGGGTTATTCCTTATTCACACTTCCTCAAGTCAGGTTTGACTATAAGTTTACCAATCTCTGTCCCTGTTTTCCTTTTACCATTGTCATCTTGTATGTTATTTCTTTCTTTGTCATAAACATTGTTAATTTAGAATCCAGAACAACCACGTCTTTGTCATAAATATTGTTAATTTGTTTCTCATTTATTTGTGTCGTGTGACAGAGATGAGTTATGGGACTTGTATAAGAACGACTTGCACCCACAACTAGTTCAAGGTGATCTTCGTATCTGTCTCTATGGTCTGATACCCAAGACCAACCAATAACTTCTCGTATGATAGTCATGTCCATTTGATTTCAATTGAAGTCTACTCTACAAATACTACTAGAAAAAATTGCTCCCGCTATAACAGCAAAATAATGACTCATCAACCTATATTTTTGGCTTCTAAATAATATGAACTTTTTTTTGAGTATTCCTAGCAAACATGACTATTGCATTACCACAATAACTTCAATTATGTACCACATAATTCATCAAAACAAGAAATCATGCTCAAATTAAGCAATTTAAAGGTGTTAGCAGTGAAGTACGTAACTTTTTTGCCACTATACTTAGTCAAAGTTGCTATAATACAAGCACTATGACACCAAGTACACAAAACAAGAAAATATATTCCACCATGTCAAGTCAATGTGATGATATCAACAGTGAACGATGTGAAAGAAACAGAACTACAAGCATAAACTTCATTCAAGTATGGAAAGTTATTTGTAGAAGAAAAGTGATCTTGAAAATGTCACTTTTCCTTCAAATAATGCGTTGACCCTAAACACTGCACTTAGCCTTCTAGTGAAAACCCTAGAAGGCTAAACAATGCAACATGTGCCACCAATAAGATAAAATTCCTTTGTAATGGAACAAAACAATGAACACATTACACAATGGCACAAGGCGATCAATCATTAGAAATAATATAAAATCATATTTAATGATTAATCATTGTAAACTGAGGCCAACAAAAAAATGTTCTCTCTAATTGATCAAACAAATAAACACTTCAACATAATGCTGGTCACATCCCAATATACCAAAACAACTATATCTCATTAATTATAGAACTCATCATTGGATACATGAATATTAACAAATTGGTCAGAAATTCAATTTTCAACCCTTCAAAATCCAAAAATCTCTTGGACAATCTTCACTGTATTTAATGAAATAAATGATATTTGTGTACTAAATAACAAACGGAATACAAAAGAAATATAGGAAATAAGAGAGATTGTTTGATTGCAAAAATCAAACCAATAAATATAAATAAATAAATAAAAACAGATTTTTATTTTGTTACAAAAACAAAATCAAAATCTGATTTATATAAATAAATAATATTTTTTTTTTTGTTTGTGTTATTTTGTATTTTTAATTACCTTCCAATGATTTTTTTTTTAAATTTGGACATATAATCATATATATATTATTGAGCGTGTCCCCAGTGTGTCGTATCCCCCATTTTTTGAAAATTTGTTGTTCGTGTCTTGTCCCGCGTCCGTGCGCCATGAGATATATATATGTGTGTGTTTTTTTTAATTTTGGATGACTGATTATTTGTAGTTGTTTTTATCAGGTTATTCTTATATCATATACTAAAATTTGAAAAAAAAATCTTCTTGCATTGAAATGATGTGGTGATTATTTTTCAAACGGGTTAGTTGGGTTGATTTGCATAACCCGTAACCCATTTAAGCCCGTATAATATATAGGCGGGCAATGGTTAAGTTATTTTTAATGCACAACCCGTTTTAACATGCTCAAACCAGCTCGTTTGCCACCTCTACTAATGAGCAATGTAATAAAAGGTGGTTCACTGAAGGATTATAATAAAAAACCAAACACTTCATGTTGGAATTCTTTCCTCCATCAAGTGCGCCAAACCAACTAATGTGGTTTAAAAGATAGTAATACTAGACCTAGAATTTTATCCAGAAATATCAACATGTTGTCCAAATTCATTCTATTTATGAACTCATGATACACCAATTCAATCTCATGCACACATTTTCATGTTTGGTTTGGTTTTTAGAAACTTGTTTTAGAAAAATTTTCTAAAAAACAAAATATTAATTTGGTGAAAGAAATAAAAAAAAATTAAAACACTTAATTTTTTAATATAATTTTATATTTTAGAAGGTTAAAAATAATTTTTAAAAGATTAAAAATATGTTTTTGACATTTATTTTTGTCAAATTGGTTTATATTTTATCAAATTGACAATTTTTCCTTTGAAATTAAGCAATGATATCTTTAATTGTCCTTATTTGAAACAGTTCATAATTTTTCAAGGTATCTTAAATTATTATTTTTTCAATTTTAATATTTGTTGAAACCTTCTTATTATCTACAAATAATTTGTTAATCAATAAGTATAAAAAATAAACAAATAAATTGAACCTTATCTGATATAACAAATAAATTGAAATTTTAATTTTAATAACTTTTGGTGTCCTCCTTGTTATCTATAAATTTATTTTTTATTTGCTGAATCAAATTTAAAACTATACTCATACATAATTTTTCAAGGTATCTTAAATTATTATTTTTTCAATTTTAATATTTGTTGAAACCTTCTTATTATCTACAAATAATTTGTTAATCAATAAGTATAAAAAATAAACAAATAAATTGAACCTTATCTGATATAACAAATAAATTGAAATTTTAATTTTAATAACTTTTGGTGTCCTCCTTGTTATCTATAAATTTATTTTTTATTTGCTGAATCAAATTTAAAACTACACTCATACATAATTTTTCAAGGTATCTTAAATTATTATTTTTTCAATTTTAATATTTGTTGAAACCTTCTTATTATCTACAAATAATTTGTTAATCAATAAGTATAAAAAATAAACAAATAAATTGAACCTTATCTGATATAACAAATAAATTGAAAATTATTTGTTACTCGTGCATAATCTTATAGCTATCCTATATGTTTTCTGTTGTTAATTTTAAAATATTTTAAAATTTCCTTATCTTATAATATAACTTCTTATTGAGAGAAAATTGGAGAAAAAGTTTTAGCTAGTAATACATATCAAACACAAATAAGAGTTTGAGAGAAGGAGAATTGGTCAATCAAAATTGATATATCATAATAAAGAATATAATATATTAAAAAGAAATTGAGAAAGAGAAAAAAAAACTCAGTCAAAAAAAATTGAGAGAAAGAAATGGAAAAAATAGTGGAGAATTGATTCATCACAATTGATATTTTATAATAAAAAATACAATAAATAAAATAAAAAGAAATTGAGAAAGAAAAAGTTTCAGTCCAAAAAATTGAGAGAAAGAACTGAAAAAAAAAAAGTGAAGAATTAATTCATCCAGGTTTGGTTAAATTACAGATACCCCCCTGAGGTTTCGGAAATTACATCCCGCCCCCTGAGGTTTGTATTTTCATAACAATTTACCCCCTGAGGTTTATATTTCATAACAAATTACCCCCTAATTTCTTATGCAAATATAGCATTCAGGGGGGAATTCGTAATTTCTCAAACCTCAGGGGGGTATCTGTAATTTTGTCAAATCTGGAGGGGTGTATATGTAATTTGCCCAAAAAAAAAGTGAAGAATTAATTCATCACAATTGATATATAAACGCAACTCTAGAACCCAAATAACAAATAAAGACTTTAAGAGAGAGAATTGGTTCATCCATAAAAATAAAAAATAAAAAGAAAAATTGAAAAATTTCACATCATAATGTCTACATGTTTCCATCAATAAAACTTTCAAAAAAGCCCTTCCCAAACCAAGCTTTTTAGCCCAGGCTAAAATAGCCAAAAAAGCCAAAAAGCCAAAAAGCCAACCCACTTCCCAAACGGAGGCTAAACACAACCAAACGCTACCGTAGATTTTTATATGGCGGTTTCTATGAAAAAAAATTCATGAAAATATAAGTTTAAAATTCAAATTATAACGTCTACATTTTTTTTTTAAATTTTGTTTTATTTGTTATTTTTTCGGTCAACATGATCAACAAAATAGAACAAAAACTTCTATGACTGAGAATATAAAAAATTCAAGACTCTTAAACAATTTAAAAAATATATATGAAAATAAATAAATAAAATCAATAAAAATATTAAAATTGAAAATATTTAAATCATTTACCATCAAAGAGAAACAATAGTCTTGTTTACACTTTCTCTGCCATCATTCTTGAGAGAACAAAAATAGTTTTAAAATAGTCTTTTTATATTAATTTAAAAAAAATAAATTCTAAAAATATTGTTAGAAAATCAAACCGGCACACACAACAATCCAACAACCATTTTTCGTTGTACAACAACCTCCTCGCCCGCTCTCTCTCTCTCTCTCTCCCTCTCTCACACACGCCACCACGCAACACCAGAAACCATTCGAACTATCAAATTGATTTTGATTTGATTTGGAAAATAAAAAATTTAAAATTCTTAAACAATTTACAGAATATATAAACAAAACATATATGGAAAACGAAAAAACAAAAATTTCAATCAATGAAAATATAAAAATTAATGATTCTTAAATTACTTACCATCAAAGAGAAACAATAGTCTTGCCCTGCCTTTTTTTTTTTTTATTTGTGAAAAACAATAGTCTTAAATATGTTAGAGATGAATATGCGTTTGAAAAGGTATTTGTGGATCTGTAACAAAAAAAAAGGTGTTTGTGGAAGTTCAGAATTGGTTTGGTTGAGATATGTGAGGGAACGTGGGTGGGGTGGAGTGGAGTGGGGAGGATGTGGATGTATTTATTTATTTATTTATTTTTATTATCTAATTACAGGTGGCAAAAGCTTCTGGAGACAAAAGTTGGGCTTCATGACACCAAAATTAGTGTTGACTTTTAATAATAGAATAGATAGATATAACAGTGTTGTGTAATTTAACATAATTTAAGAGTATTTTAGAAAGATAGTTAAAAATTATTTTTTAAATTTTTTTATAAAAAAAAATAAATTAAAAATTAAAAAGTAACTTCTAACCTATTTTTCAAAAGAACCCTTGCAATAGACTGCAATAAATAAGTCCACCGGCTCAAAATTTTGAACAAAGATGTCCGAACCCAATAAAAAAGGGGCTTGAGGCGGCCCGACATGACCAGGCGAAGACGAAGAAAATTGAGGTGAGGAAAAAATAATACAATAGTTATAAAATATCATAGGATTATATTTTTTCATTAATTATTATATATTTTTTAAATATTTAATACAAATAATTAATACTTTATTTTTTTATTAATTATCTTATCAAGCGGACTAATCGGCTCGTTGGTCAAGCTAAGCTAACATGACGAAAGTAGAAAAATAAAGGGTTCGTTTGGTTTGATTTTCTGAAAAAAATTTGGGAAATTTTCTCTACAAATAAGTTTTCAAAAATAACCAAACCAAACAAATTTTCTCAAAAAAATTTCTCAAAACTTGTAAACCAAACAAGTTTTCTAAACAAATCTCTCTCTCACACACATCAAATCAATCACTTTTTCCAAAACTCTATCTCAAAATAATTTTTCAAAACATCTTTTAAAAAAAACCAAACCAAACATATTTTCGTACTTTTTATCTCTAAAACACATCTCTCAAACACAAACCAAACATACCCAAAATAATTAAATCCAACAAAAAAAAAAAAGAAAAAAGAAAAAGACGGGTGCAAAGAAAATGGAATAAGAAGAAGCAGTGGGCGGTACAAAGTGGTTTTCCGAACCAAGAAAGTATTTATTAGCTTATTTATTACGTCTATACTATATATATACACAATAATTTCACTACCAATAAAATTAAAAAAAATAAAAATAAAAATAAAAATAAAAATAAATAACTGTTAAATTCACAGTGCGTAATTCATTCCATCCCCTTCGGATCCGTTTTGGCAAGCTGAAATCTCATCTGTAATTTGGGGATGGCGTCCAGTATGAGAATCGTTTTCGGATTGCTTACATTTGTCACTGTTGGCATGATTATAGGTATATTATTCCTGTTCCTCTGACCTACCTCTCATCTATACATATATGTATGTGATTGTTGTGTGCACATGTTAAATTTGATTGTGATTCGATCCGCAATGATGCAATTACGACTCTACCACTTCAGTACATTTGCTCTTTGATTTGCTTTTGTTTCATCTTATTAATTTTGACCTTTTTTTTTTTATGGAAAAAGTGCTTTCAATTTTTTTTAAAAAAAAATCTAAGATTTAATTTGGTGAAAATTTTGAAAAACATTAAAAATATCAATTTTTTTCATATGGTTTTATCTTTTTTAGAGTGGAAAATTTTTAATACTCTAAAATATCTTTTTTGGTGGTTATTTTTGTCAAACAAGTTTCTATTTTTTTTTAAAAAAAAATTCTGAAAATGAAAGAGCTATCTCCCAGCTTTTTTAGGTTTGCATGGTGAATTAGGGCTTGTTAACCCTTTTGCATTTATTTTAAATTTTATTAAAACAACTAGATTCTTTTTTAACTTAATTCTCAATGAGGATGAATTGAATGTTCGCTCAATTAAGTAACTTGTCCGACGTAGAGCATGGCAACAAGAAAATGGGCAAATTTTGCATTTCACATGTAGTAAACCTTCGGCATTGTGCAAGTATGTTCAAGGTTAATTTGAGTCTTAATTTTATGTGTATTTCATGTTGGTATGCTATCGGATATCGTCTATGTTTTATTATATCCATGAAAATAAAGGTTTGATTATTTTTCGTTTTTTCGGGAAATGCACTATAACATGGGTCCATGGTTCTTGTTCCGTTCGAATATTGTAGCTAGTAGAAATATTTGAGTCAAGGTTATGTTATTGAGTTATTACATATATGGTTAATAATGAAACTTGCATATTTTTATTTAGTCTGAAGTTTCTTAATTTCCTATTTTCAAGGCATAGTTTTTTAATAGACTTGGGAGAAGTTTAGCAATTTATAAATGCTTTTGTAATCATTCTATTTGATACTTATCACAAGAAAAACAAACTATCCACCTTCTCCTCAAACTCCCTACAATAGAATGCTCACTAAAATTTACAAGTGATGAGCTCGCAGAAAGAACAAGCAAGGGATTTGAAGATGGAATAAAAGGTTTTCATTCTTCAAATTGATGAAGCATTGAGAGGGCTGTTGATTAGGATAACTGCGAGGAATATGTTACAGAACTATTCCTTAACAGTGGATTTGGGAGGACTTTTTTGGGCAATCAAAGATTGAGAGAGAAGTAGTTAAGCATAGGAGGAGTTCAGTGGTTTGGGTTGAGAAGTATTCCGACGTAAGAGGCATTTTTATTGAAATTTTGAAGTGGATTGGTGATAGGAAAATGGCTTATATCATTCTTCTGGCAGGAAACAATGGTAGTGGGTTGATGGAAATGGAAAAGATGCTTGGACAGGTGTTATGTTCAGATGGAAGAGTCAGCGATAGATATAAAGAAGAACCAATGAAAATCCAGAAAACTCAGGCAAACAAAGTTTTTAGTGATAATAGATCCGCTGAATATTCCATTTTCTAATCTCAACTCTCTTGTTGAAAATCCAGAAAACTCAGGCAAACAGAGTTATTAGTGTTAATAGATCCGCTGAATATTCCATTTTCTAATCTCAACTCTCTTGTTGAGAGCTACATCTGTAACCTTGGTTGACCATGGACTAAACTCCGGGCAATCCTGTCTTGAATATGAGAACTTTAGCCCTTCTAAACTGCACATCCTAATTGAGAAACTTGTGCTCATAATTGTATAATTTTTTGTTGTGGAATTTTAGGGTGTGAATTAAGATTGATTTGTTACCCAGTAGTTAGTTTTATCTCCACTACAAGTTACTTTGCAGTTTCATTTTTTTTTTTGTTTAAATCAAGAATATTATCATTAATGGATGGTGATGCTTGTTCAATGTGCTTGTAATAGTAATTTGCATATTGTTACGGTAGATAATAACAATATTATCTAATAGTTGGGATTTGCAGGAGCTTTGCTTCAATTGGCATTTATTAGAAGGCTCGAAGATTCATATGGTAGATTTTCTCTATCTTTCTATATTTCAACTGATAGAAATTGTTATTTGATTCAGTTTCTTGTACGCTTCTTGCTGGCCTAACCCCTCTCTTTTCTTTTCTTTTTTAATGTTGAAAATTCTTGTACTATTATGACATAGTTTTCAGTGAAACTGATTTGACACGTGCTTTGAAGAAATGGAATTCTAGCTTGCATTTCTTATCCTGATTGATTGTGAACAATATAATACAGTTCCTGCATTAGAGCAAGCAACCATTGAAGTTCCGTTGTAGCATCTAGAACTTCCTCTTGTTTAGCTGGGCAGCCCAGAAAATAGGCATCAACTATGGTTGTTCATAAAGGGAATATGACTCAATTCATCTTAAGTTTGCTGCTACAGCCTATGACGTCATCATTTGACACAGACTTTTGATTGTGGAGGATGGTCACGATTTATGGTCAAGACATATGATGTGGCGATGGATTACGACATAACATGGATGTTGAGAAGCAAGATAAAATTGGCTTTACATTAAGCACTGAAAAGAATCAATAAATAAACTTAAGAAAAAGAAAGAAACTAGAAGAGAAAAAAAAAAGAGAACTTATCCTATGGATGTAGAACTAATAGGTTCAGGACACCAGTATTGTGGCAATGGCATCATCTGTTATTTGAGCTCTACCAAACTGAGTTGGTGCTGCACAATGATATCTTCAATTCAGTGAAGCTCAAGCTCTTTATGAGGCAGTCAGCTCACTTATCAGCTTTTGGGGCATCATGAAAAAGTCAATTTTAAATTTTCCGAATTTTTTCTTTTTGGCTAGAAGAATAATTCTCTCTCTCTCTCATTTCATTTGTGAAAGACATTTTCTGTCAAATGATTATCTTCTTTTATTCTTGTGCTACATTTCATTCTCATATTTAGTTTTGTTATGCGCATGGGTCAACATATGATATTGTTATATCCAAATATTTCGTACATGGGTGGCACCCCCTTGGTGCCTCATCTTTATAGAATCCTTTATTATTCCAAATGTTCTTTATTACATTGGAGGATATAAATTTTGTTGGACCTCATCTTTTTATATATGTATGTATATGTATATAAATTTTTCCTTACCAAATGAGCTTTCTATTCTTTATAGGCACGGAATTTCCTTCATTTAGAAGACTGCATGAACGTCAGAAAGAAAAAGAAAGGAACTAGAAGAGAAAAAAAAAGAGAACTTATCCTATGGATGTAGAACTAATAGGTTCAGGACACCAGTATTGTGGCAATGGCATCATCTGTTATTCGAGCTCTACCAAACTGAGTTGGTGCTGCACGATGATATCTTCAATTCAGTGAAGCTCAAGCTCTTTATGAGGCACTCAGCTCACTTATCAGCTTTTGGGGCATCATGAAAAAGTCAATTTTAAATTTTCCGAATTTTTTCTTTTTGGCTAGAAGAATAATTCTCTCTCTCTCTCATTTCATTTGTGAAAGACATTTTCTGTCAAATGATTATCTTCTTTTATTCTTGTGCTACATTTTATTCTCATATTTAGTTTTGTTATGTGCATGGGTCAACATATGATATTGTTATATCCAAATATTTTGTACATGGGTGGCACCCCCTTGGTGCCTCACCTTTATAGAATCCTTTATTATTCCAAATGTTCTTTATTACATTGGAGGATATAAATTTTGTTGGACCTCATCTTTTTATATATGTATATGTATATATATTTTTCCTTACCAAATGAGCTTTCTATTCTTTATAGGCACGGAATTTCCTTCATTTAGAAGACTGCATGAACGTCAGAGTATTGGCAATCTACAGTTGTCTGGAGGTTGGTTTGGTTTCTAATAGTTCCTGTCAAAATTGCACATAGACTAATATGTTTTTATTCTCATAGCTGAATTTTGCAAGAAAAATAAAAGAAAATAATATTATGCATTGGGTATTTATGTCTTGTTTTTGTGTGTTGTATTTACATGTGAGAAAGCAGTTACAAGTGCAATTTGATGATTTCAGTTGATATGTGGCAAGTTATATATATATATATAAATATATATTTATACATGATAGCTTTTGTTAGGCTCTAGAAGTTTGAATGGAGTCTAGTGCATCTTATGTTATCCATGCCCAGGATGCCTTATACTTGAAAAAGTTGAATTACGTCATAATAAGTAGGATAAACACTGTAGCTGTTAAAGTTAATTTGTTAATTGTCTGCAAGTTATATTAACTAATAGCCTAATAGGTTATCCCCCCCATCTCCTTGAAGCTGGAAAAAATAGATAAAACAAAATGCTTCTGAATAGCTTCATTTGGTAAAGCATTGGCTTTTTTTAAAAATTACATTTTCTCTGGTGTTATTTGGCTTTAAACTCTCTCTCTCTCTCTCTCTCTGGTTTCAGGTATTTCTTATTGGGCTAATGACAAAGAAGCTGAAACTTTACGTCTCGGATATGTATGTTCTCCTACATGGTTAAATGTTTGGTTTTTCATTGTGTATCCCATACTCATAATAACATGCTAGTTCAAATCTTGATGATATGCCAAAGCTCCAAAGAGTACATATAGAGGGTTGTCACTGTTGTGTAACACTACACATTTTTAATACTCACTAATTCTGTTCCTAGCTTATATGCAAACTTCTTTGTAGAGGATTTTCTCCCGTTTTCCATGCCTTTCATTTTTATTCTCTCATATATTTGATATTAGATTCAAACCTTTGAGTCATAATCAACTAATGTGGTCCTATGATAGAAAAGTACTTTACACTTGTTAAAAAATTAAAAATTAAAAAAAAGGGTAGTGCCATGTAATATAGTTACCCGGAGAAGTGATAAATGTGTTAAGTGTGAACCATAGCCATTGTTGCAAATTTCATGTTGTTTAAGATATTCTTGCATGTGTATGTGTTTTTGAAATGGATAGAAATTGTTGAGTTCTTAATTTGTTTCATCAAAATTATCTTTACTTTTTTAGGACATTATTTCTTGGTAGTATATGTCTGCACTGCCACTTGCTGTACCTTAAGATTCTTATTCATATATGTATATGTAGATAGAAATTTGTTTATTTTTTTCCTTTTGTTGCAGGTCAAACCTGAAATAATTAGTTGGTCTCCGCGAATCATTGTACTTCATAATTTTTTGAGTACGGAGGTATTCAAATTTAATACTCGTCATATTCTTGTGTATATCAATATATTTTCTGGTTGATATGACTTTGCTGAGCTTAATGTTGTGTACTATATGTACATGGTGCCTGATTCTTGTTGGAGAAACCATCCATTTGGTGATGTGGCAGTGCCATATGGCAAGAGTTGTGCCATGTACCTACAAAGAGAGAGAGAGAGAGAGAGAGAGTCACCCCTAGTACAAAATTCATAAGGTTTCTAGGGCAAATAACTATAGTTGAAAGTAAAGAAGTCATTGTTTAAAGGGTTGTCATTATATATATATAATCTTTTTTGCCTTTTTCGTTTTTCAGTTACAAATGGTTTTAAAAATAAAAATCCTTGAACAAAGTGAATGCTTAAAATAATACAATAAATTGCTGAAGAATAGAAGAACTTGTATACATACTAAAAAGAAACCTTCAGGTATGACGTCCAGAAAAAAGGGCATTTACACACAAGTCCTAATTTATATGAACTTATACTCCATTAAGTCCTAACTAAGATTTTTTAGACCTTCAAGTTCTATTAAATTTTTAATAGTTGGAATTACCCTTCAAACAATGATTGTTATCATTTATGATTATCTATAAAGGAACATGATAATTTTGACATTTATTTTGATTTTCAAAACTTTAAAACATCAACTTTCAAATTGAAAAAACTTTAAAAAAATTATGTGCAAAAAAAAAAAAAAACTAATTTTTTTTTTTGAAAAAATTGAATTATTTTTTGTGTAAAACTGAAATTTTTATGTTTATAAAGAATCATGATGATGGAACATTGATGTGCAAAACTTAAAATAAAAATAAAAATAAAAATAAAAATAAAAAAACTTTGAAAATGAAAAAACTAAACAGTGTGCTTAGTTTCATTTTTTTGAATTCAATTTTTGAAAATTGAGTTTTTTGTTTTTGCGTATTTTTTTGTTTTTAGTGAATATTTTTAAAATTTTAATTATTCTTTTTATTTTTTTAGATGCACCTTATTTAGATGTATTTAAAAAGTAAAATATTTGTGAAAAAATATTTTAAAAAATAATAAATACGAAAAAATACAAAAAATATATTGAATTTTTGTATTTTTCGTATTTTTGGTATTTAGTGAATTTTTTAAATATTTTTTTCACAAAAATTATACTTTTTAGGTGTATTTATGTTAGGTGTGTCTAAAAATTAAGAAAATTGCTTAAAATATAAAATAAAAAAATCAGTAAAAACAAAAAAAATACGGAAAACAAGAAAGTAGAATTTTTTGAAAAGTGTTTTCTAAAAACTAAAACAAACATGCTAATGTTCTCGATTTTATTAGATAGTTGAATCAAACCAACAAGTAGAAGGGAAAAAACATTTAATCCCATGCTCTGTTTTTTTCATTAGTTAGTGAAACAATTATCTGGAACACTGCTATGCAAAATTGATAATGTTCTTAGTTTTAAAAATTAGAAAAAACTGATAATATTTTCAGTTTTACTAAATAGGACTTATTGGTTCAAAAAATCTTAGATAGGACCTGAACTACAATAACATTTGTAAATATGACTTTTAGGTAATTAACTCAAAAAAAAAGACAAAGAAATTAGTTGGAATGTTGAAACAAAATGCACATACACATAGCTTTAGAAAATTGCTAAACCAGCCTTGGTTTTTAGCACCTGAAATCTTTGTAGAGGCAGTTTATTATATTTAGGTCTTGTTTGTCATAAGTCAAAAAGCTAAAAAGTTACTATCCTATTTAAGTCACATCATCTTATTTAAGTCATATCACCCCTCTACTACATCATTTCAAACCCAACCCATATTTCATAAAAAGTCAAAAAGTGCACTTATTTAGATCATCCCAAACCACCCCTTACTATGTGTATGGCATGTTGTAGCCACAAGACATTTTCAATCCTTACTTCCTTCACACTTCAGATTGTTATGAGGGTTTCCTGCCAAATTGAATAATTTGGCTCCTGGTCAACTTTGAGTAGCTAGGGTTATAAGTATCACGCTTTGCATAAGATTGTATTTTAATTACTATATGGACTTGTTTTCAATGCATATAATTTCTATAACTTTTGGTAAAGTTGGAAAGATTGATGTTATTTATTGTTGAAAGAATCATAATATATTAGTTTGTTGATGCTGCGATGTTGTGTTCGTAAATGAGAATTTATTGCCCTTGAAGGAATGTGATTATCTTAGAGCAATTGCGAAGCCCCGTCTTCAGATTTCCACCGTGGTGGATACAAAAACTGGGAAGGTGCGTATGAAATGTATATATTATGATCTGAAGTTGCATGTTTTATATGGTTAAAATTGACATATATTTACCTAAATTTAGTTGTATGTATTTTTGGCACTTTATTGTTAAAAAGTAGGGTTGAAGTGCAGAACCTGAGAGCCTGGCTCAAAGGGTGCTCGAGCAGTCATGGGGCTTAACAACCAGTAAGGCTCGCTTGAAAGAGTGCTTGAGGAGCACTCGAGCGGATACCTGATTGGGACTCTAGAACAGACAACTCAAAATCTACTTGAGTAGCATATAAAAAATTGAATAACACCAACTTTCAAGCCCAAGCCAAGGCCCCATCAACCTTCTGGTTGGAATACAAATAATAATAAACAATAAAAAAGGAAGAAAAAACCTACCAATCCTGGCCATGAATATTTTGCATTTAGATGTTCCATGAGCTTAGGATTGTTGTGGCCATATCAAGATATTGCTGGTCAAATTGTCTACGGTTAATATTTTATTAGAATGGGTTTCAAGGAGCAGCACATTATTTTTATGATTCATGTGGCATTTTTTTTTTTGACAATATGCAGACCTTGCTCACTCTCACAAAGCAAGAATTATTTCTAGACAATGGAGTAGCTCTTAAAGGAAAAACTACATGCTCTCCGAATGTAGTGTGTGTCACCTAAACAATGAAGAATAGGTCTCAATATATAGTAAATAACAATCCTAAGTGAACAATATTCCATAACACAATGCTATGCACGTTGAATAGACATGCATTCAAATAGTCAACCCGTGCATTTGAACAAAGAAGCTCTTGCCTTTCAACAGTGCTCCCTGTGTCAAAATAGAATGCATGCGCTTGAATGAAATGCTTTTGCATTCAAACGAAATGCTCTAGTGTTCAAACAGTTAGTATTCTTATAATCAATTGCTACAGGAAACAACATTCTCATTTGCATGAATCCTTTGTGCGTTCAAACCTGCATGCCACTAGAAATAATCCAAACAAAAAGCAACTGTCTGGGTGTATAAGGCCCAATAACTAAGTTGATGGGTGCTAAAAATCAAGTCCAAAAGCTAATTTAGCTTATAGTCCAAAACTAAACTACTATGATCAAGAATACAAAATAAACCCAACCAGATAAAACCCTCTAAATGACACTAATGCAATGCATGAGTTTTATTTTTGCATTGAAGACAAGTGTATCCATATGATAAAGGCTTGAAGCTGAAGTCAGCTTAAATGATGCTACACTACGGAACATGCTCAAAGACTCGACTAATGCTAATCAATCTTGGAGTAAAATTGCCAACACAAAACAATGACCAAGGAGTAAATAGACATTAGACGTTTTTCCTAACAAAAAAAAAAGGAAAAAGAAAGAAGCTAACAAAGGCTTAAATTTCACCAGTTATTGCATCATCAATGTTTTGGTGAAAGCTAATATTTTACATATAGCCATTTATAGCTAATTATGTGTTTGATCATACTAATGAATTTAACATTAGTTTTTCCATATTAGTTTCTTATCCATACAATGCAACAAAATTAGTAGCTTATTATGTTATTTTATATCAATTTTTAGGGAATCAAGAGTGATGTTAGGACGAGCTCTGGTATGTTTTTAAGTCCTGAAGAGAGAAAGTATCCAATGGTACAGGTTGGTATGTTGACTTTGATTCTATTTGTGTATCCAATGGTACAGGTTGGTATATTGACTTTGATTCTATTTGTTCAAGTCTGTGTATCCAGTGCAAGTCAAATGAATATCTTCTTTTGATTGTATTCTTCGTTATCGACAGCAATGCTAAGTACAATGCTCTACTTGGTAGGGATTGGATAAGATAAAGAAAGAGAGTGTAATTAATGATTTCTTTTTTGTTTGCCCAATCAGGCAATTGAAAAACGAATTTCTGTCTATTCTCAAGTACCAATAGAAAATGGGGAGCTTATTCAAGTTTTAAGGTGGGGATTGTTTTTGCATATTAAATGCTTAATATCAGTAGGAATACTAATCAGCTTGTTTGGTTTTGGTTTTCAGAAAACACTTTTTAGAAAAATTTACTTTTTTATTTTTTGTATTTTTTTTGTTTTCAATGAATTTTTTAAATATTTTAAGCAATTTTTTAATTTTTTTAATTTTTAGAGACACCTAACATAAATACACTTAAAAAGTATAATATTTGTGAAAAAAATCCTTAAAAAATTCACTAAATACCAAAAATACAAAAAAATACGAAAACTCAGTGCATTTTTCGTATTTTTGTGTATTTATTAATTTTTTAAAATATTTTTCACAAATATTTTACTATTTAGATACATCTAAGTAAGGTGTATATAAAAAAGTAAAAAAATTGCTTAAAATTTTTAAAAAATTCACTAAATGCAAAAAAAATACGAAAAACAAAAAAACTCAATTTCCAAAAAACTAAATTCAGAAAACTGAAACTAAACACACACACTGAATATGTTTTTAGAATTGAGGCTAACATTTGCAGTACAGGTATGAAAAAAATCAGTTTTACAGACCACATCATGACTACTTTTCAGATACTGTAAGTTATTATTCTTGAAATTGTTAATATTTTTATTGCTTGTGTTAAACCTTTTTCAACTGTATCAATTAGTGTACTTTAGTTTTGTCTCATTTAAAAAGGAGAGCCTTTTTTTATTGTTATTTAACAGTTCAATTTGAAACGTGGTGGCCAACGAGTTGCTACAGTCCTCATGTACTTGAGCGACAATGTTGAGGGCGGAGAAACATACTTCCCGGCGGTAATACTTCAAAATCTGATACTGGTTTTGTGTTCAGTTATACTGCCTGTTTTTAATTGATAAACATAGCTAATTTGGCATTCCTTTGGTACCCTGGGATTTTAGAACTAGATCAAGAGATCAATAACCCTCGGAATTGCATTACGTGATTGTCCCATTTGCAGAATATTTGATGAACCAATGCGTGTTTTAAAGTGAGGTTGCGAAAGATTTGAAATTTATCAGGGAAACATGAATTAGTAGACCAGACAACCCAATGGCAGGGCCTTGTTACTAGCACTCATCAGGTTGGGGTTTTGACCCCTAACGGTCCCTTCTCCCTCCCCTAGGTAGTCGACTATGAATGAAGTTCTTGCATGTACCCAAAAAACAGGCAACATGAATACAAAAATCCATGTTCCACTAATGATGTTAGAGGAAACAACTGGAAGATGTTCCAATTTATGGCAGGGTTATTAAGACAATGTCCTACTATGAAGCACATACACTCCATTTTAGGTTGGGTTGGCAATTGCTTTTTGGTAGTTTGTTTGTTTGTTTGTTTGTTTTTTTTTTTTTTGTGGCTTTTTTAGCATAAAGTTGTTGCTAAAAAAGCTGATGTGTTTGGCAAATGCTAAAAAAGCTGGCTCTTTTGTTTTTGGGATAGCTTAGGTAAGTAGATGTGTGTGTGTGTGTGTGTTTTTTTTCTTTTTTTTTGTGTGTTGTCTTTAGTGATTTTTTTTTTAATTATTTCTATTTTTTCTTTTAACTTTCTAGATCCTTCTAGACTAGAAGAACATGAAAAGTAAAAGAATTAATGAAATTATTTTAAAAATTCACTAAAGACACCAAAGTTAGAATATAATATGGTTTTTTTAGCAATTGCCAAATGGAGATAATCTTGTTAAAAATATATATATATATTTTTGCAATTGCCAACTAAAAAAGCTAAACGGTTTAGCTTTTTTGGCTTAAATAGCCAAAAAGTGGCTAAATATGCTGTAGCCAAACAGGGCCTTAGCCCGTTGTAGTGTCTGATATGGACACACTGGAACACGTGCTGGACAAGGCACATGGCTTGCCTATGTTTGTTTGCTTGTTTGTTTATTTTTCTTAAACTTCTTCTCATTGCATGGGCATCTTTTAATCCTTGAATGTTATTAGGCTCAGGCTAGTTCAGGTCAGGCTGGTTCAGGTGAATGCAGCTGCGGTGGGAAAATGATGAAAGGGTTGTGTGTTAAACCTCTTAAAGGAGATGCGGTGCTTTTTTGGAGCATGGTTTGTTTTCTTGTATATACTAGTCAATTTTTGTTTATAAAATACATCATATCTGAAATGGCATTCTGGAGCTTAAATAAGCGGAAAACTTTCATTTTTTGTGTGTTTTTGTCAAACACTCGCAAAAATATATGCCATAATCAAAATTTTCCAGAATGGTCTGAGAATTCCTCATGAGAAGCAAATCTAAGGAATTTCCCTGCTTGTTTTGGGAGGTTCCTGTGCCTGGTATACCCATCAGAATGGTACTCTTTTGTATGACACATTCGGGAATTTGGAATCTTGTGAGTTGCGTTTAGATCATGGATTTGAGTATAGATTTGGAAAGGGAAATGTGAATGAAATATAAACTGTAGTTTTTTTCCATGTCCTTCACCTTGCCCTTTCTCTACCCAAATCGATGATTCAAACACATCCTTGGTGTCTTGATAGTTGAAACCAAATTCTAGTTTTGGGAAGTAAGACATGTTGCGGGGGTAACGTGTTATTTGAGAACTATTTATTGGATAAATTCAAGTTTTACCCATACGTGGACAAAGATAAAGAGAGTTTTATGAATAGGAACTGATAAATTACATAACTAGTTAAAAAGCCAAACACTACTGATTGAAAAAACAATTTGATTTGTCCGTACTCCATTCAATAAGTATTATACAAGCTACCTTACAAATCTGTAGTACTCCATATATTCCCTTTTTTGATGGTATTTATCTCATTTATTACCAACATTGATCTTAATAGTATCATTAAAATTTCTTGTCATGCTCCTAGAATTTGTGAGGATTTTGTTTTCCTTTTGTAGATTGGATTTTTACTATGGACCGATCATATTTCAACTACTAGCTGGCTGCATACATGAAAACATTAAAAAAAATAAAGAAAAAAAGAAGGGCTATTTTATTACATTATATATGTTTCTCTTGATTGCTGTCCAATGTTGTTTGATAATAAGAAGGTGATTGAGGTCTCATAATCAAACAATATGATTGATTGACTAGCTTTGCTATCTATCTCAGGGGCTAGATGGGCAGTCGGACCCGAACAGCATTCATGGAGGATGCCAAGTACTGTCGGGGGAGAAATGGTCGGCTACAAAATGGATGAGGCAGAGAACTACTTCCTGATTTTGCTTTGTGGATTTTGTTTTCACATTCATCATCTTTTTTGTTATAAATAACTAATTCCATAAAACTGGTAAATGTAAAATTAATATTAGGTTGCACTTTACTTAGATAGCAACCATGGAAACCATACCATGTTTACTGCTATATGTATGGTTTCTATGGTGTTCACTCACCTTACTCCTTTTGTAGTACCTCTTGTAATATAACTCTTACGAAATGAAGTTCTTACTTTTTTTCCCCACATTTGCTTCCAACTCTAGAAATTCCATATTTGATCATTCAATTCCATTTTGAGTATTGGCATTGTTTTTGATATTAGGATTTGATGCAACAATTTGTGGATTTTTGGCAAATGGCCAAATACGGCAGGGATTAAGAATTCATTGGATCACTTGTAATCACTTGGCATCATTATTATTAGGGGAAATTATACTTTATTCCTATATTTGGTCATTTTTTTCACTTTAGCCCTTTAATTTTTTTTTTCCACTTTGGCTTTTATGTTTCAAGTTTTTTACAATTTATTTCTAAACTCAACTTATGGATAAAATTAGACAGAAAATGATATATTAACAGTCAGGTGACATAAAAATTTCTTATTATATAACTCACACTTCTAACACAAACATAAATTGTAATATAATAATATAGTTTTTATATGTCATGTGATAGTTAATGTGAAATTTTATATTTAAATTTATACATAGGTTAGTTTTTTAAGTAAATTAAAAGAAAAAATTGAAATATAAAGGGTTAAAATGAGAAAAAAAAAATTTAACAATCAAACTAAAAAAATAATCAAATATAAAAAGGACAACGTTTACTTTACCCTTGTTGTTAAGGGGCTTAGATGTAACAATTGTTGTTTCTAGTTGCTAAAGCAGAAATAATCGTCTGTAACTATTTTAGTTTCTATTAAGGATGAAATTGTTTCTATAGGTCGTTTGGAGCAGTTTCAAAATGGAAACATTATATTCTCGATCCTTAAAATAAACAAAAAAACAAATAATGTATAGTGGAGTAGTGAAGATGAATTCAGTTTATTTAATGCACCGGTAACGTGGATAACACTTCATTATTTAATATAAGAATAAATTTGGATGACATAAGTTTTGAAAAGAATGAGAATGTTTGGTGCTTGTGATTCTAGTTTTTATAATGGATTTGTTTGACAATAATGTCATTTTTTTTTATTTTTACGTAAAATAAGAAACAATTTTTTTTTATCTTTATTTTTTGTAAAAAACAAAGTAAAAAACTATTAATACACAAATATTTTGAAATAAATAAATATAAAAACAAATAAACATGTTTGATTAGTTATTAGAGGTGGTGGCCAGCTAAGGGTGAGTATGATCCGGATTGGAATAAAAGCAGAATCAATTCGTTATTTACTGTTCTTAAAAAATTAGAAGTAATCCAATCTGTTTAAATCATGGAATCAATATGAACCAATCCGTTTAAACATGGATTGGATCAGCTTAGGACCACGGATTCACATAAATAACAAAAAAAATATAGAACATTTTAATTTCATAAAAATATAAACATAATATCAAATAAAAGCAATAAACAAAAGCAATAAAACTGGATACATATTACATAAAGCAGAGTTCTCTTCTATATTAAAACTAAACATAGCATCAAACAAAAGTAATAAGAAAACTAGTTTTAGATAAACAAAATCCACAAAACTCCATGAACAGAAGCAACAAACAAACAAAAGCATAGCAATAGCAGCACAACAGCAACAACAAACAAAAGCACAACAGCAGCAACAGTAGCAAATTCCACATCACAGCAAACCAAATCACTTTCCAGCAACAATGTTGACATTGGTTAAAGCTGCAAAAACAATTAATGCCAGTTTAAAGTAAAAAATAACACAATACATGAATGTAATTTAAATGATAAATTGAATATTGGAATTCCATTACCTCTTTCTATATCCTCCAAATCTGCAAAGTTTTCTTTCATCTCAAGTGGCAATAGTGAGGCACGCAACCAATATTGTATACAAATTAAACTTTCAACAAGCTTTGATGTGAGAGAATTACGAAATTGATCAAGGGCACGACCTCCAGTACTGAAAGGGCAATTCTATTTTCACACACCAAAACATCTCATTCCACATCCTTTCTCGATACACATACCAACTAATTTTGAATTTTGTGATTTTACTCAATACACAACCCTTTTTGCCAAAATCATCTCTTTCTTTGACATTGAAACTCTAAACCAACACCCATTTGTAAGTGTTGTTTTTTCTCCTCTGCTTTGGTCTTGAATTTTTTTCCATTATGTATAACATTGCAGAAACTTTGTTATACAAGGCCAAGAAGTTCATTGCAGAAACTAGGGTTTGAATCGGACACTTAGGATTTGATTGCGACGAAGCCAGTGGCTGAAGAAGAGGTTGATCTTGTGGAAAGAGTAAGAGTGTGAGAGGTTGTGATTGGTGATTAGCATTGGGAGTTTGAGTTCGGAAATCAATAAATTGAAGCTCCAATTCTTGAAAATTGGAGGTGAAGTTTTGCAAGTTTGACGATGATGGTGATTAAAGAATGTAAGAAATGATTGCTCAGGTATGGAACAGAGTAGTAATATAGTATAGATGATGAGAACAACAGAAGGCATAGTATATATGATGGAGAGAGAGAGAGAGTTGCACAAGTTAGGAGATGGAGATCAGTGTGACTGCCATGGATTCTGAGCTTTGAACGATGAGAGGAGATGAAGAAATTAGGGTTTTGGTGGAGAAGATAAGGGTACTTTAGTGATTTTATTTTAGGACAAACTGTTATAAAAAAATAAATCATTAAGTGTGTGTACAGAGGTAGCTAAGTGTGTGGAAATAGAATTTCCCGTGCTGAAAGTAGACTCGGAAGCAACAATAGAGACAAAAATGGCCAAAATATCCCTTGCTACTTGAGAAAGAACTTTATATCTTGAAGAATTTGTCTTCCACCAACTTAAGATGTCAAAGTTTATAGCTTTCTTTTCACATGATTCTTCCAAATACCTATCTACTTCTGACTTGCCTCCATCACCTTCTTCTTCCTCCAAAAGCTTTTGAAATGTTGTCATAAGAGACACTTAGTGCTCACTTGCACCAATGTTTACTTGATCAACAATGTCTACCTCATGAACCATTTCATTAGAAGATGAAGCAATTGTCTCAAACTGTTTATACTCATAAAAAATGTTATGTAAAGTCTCTCTTGCTTTTTGAGTGAGCTCACTCACCATGACAGGTTGATAAATTTCAAAATAACAAAACCTCACATGTTTCAACTCATAACGAGGATTTAACACAACAACAATCAATAACATCATATTAATTTTTTCAATTTTTCCCTAATACTTGTCAAATTTAGTCTTCATTTTTATTTCCATGGCTTTTAAAGAAGGATCTAAACTTTTTCCCCATTTAAGGCATTTTCTATAGCACAAACTTCAGTTCAGTATAAGTTGGAAGTGACATACAAAGAACCAGACAAGTGAACAGTTACATTATAAAACTTTTGCAAAAATTGTGTAAAAACACGAGTATCTTCCCAATCTTGAGTGGTAGGAGGTCCATGATTAAGTTCTCTAATCTCTCAAATACTTTTGAAACTTTGTTGCAACATCTAGCATTAGATATGTGGAGTTCCACCTAGTTTAAACATCTAGACACAACAAGCTTTTACATGTTACCCTATCTGTTTCAGCACATGTCCTGAAAAATTGCTCTTGTTGTGGAGAACTCCTTAGATACTTTACCGCATCACGAATTCGAGTTATTGAATCTTTTATTTCACTTAACCCATCCTTCACAATTAAATTAATTATATGGGCACAACACCTCATATGCAAGTACTCACCCCTTAAAATCAAAGAGTCACTGTTTTTAGAAAACTTCATTTTCACATATGCATTAGCTACATCATTTGCACTTGCATTATCCACAGTGATTGTACACAATTTCTCTATGCCCCAATCAACAAAACATGATTCCACTGCCTTACCAATTGCCTCCTCTTTGTGACTAGAAATCACACTAAAGTTGAGAATTCTTTTTTTACAAATTCTAGTCTTTATCAATAAAGTGGGTTGTTAGGCACATGTATGAAACATTTTGTATAGATGTCTATGAATCCGTAGTGAGACAAAGTCTATAGTTTGATTTCTTCAACAATTTTTTTCAGTTTTTTCTTCTCACTAGAATATAAATCCACAATATCCCTTACTGTAACAACCCTCATACTGTTTACCGATTTATGACTGATTGATTACCGATAAACATTGATTACCGTTAAATCGAACATAATATGAACTGATTATGACTGATAATTGGACTGGTTAAAGTACTGAACTGACTGACTGAAAAACTGGAACCGAATTGACTGAGTGTATATGTTAATTTGTATGCTATATGTTGCCTGTTTGATTATCTGTTCATGTTTGAGTGTTTAAACTGCTAATTGAAGGCCTTATCGGCGGCCGAATGGTGTTTTACGATCATCATAATTTATGTGATTTTATGGTATATTTATCTGAAAACTGATTAGGAATGAGTAAATTAGATTAAATCTTGATCAATTGCTTAAGTTGGCCTTATTTACCAAACTAGCCTTAGGTGCCCACTAACTCATACACCTTTGAACTCATTGCATTGAACAACATAACTTCATCATCCTTTTTCCCTTGTCATTGCCGACTAGAGAGAGAGAGTAAGAGGAAAAGAGTGATTCAACTTGATTCATCTTTAGAATTGCTTGGAATTTGAGGAATTGAAAGCTTAAGTGCATGATTGAGCCTTTAGACTTGCATTCAAGGAACCTAGGTATGAATTTTATCCTTTTGACTTGTCTTTAAGTTGATTCTTGCATGGTCCATGTTAAATTATAGAGCTAAGTCATGAATTGGTTCATTAATGGTGAATTGAAGCTCATTTCTTGCATGCATGTTAGTATTGTTGGAGTTTGAGTTGAATTCATGGCATAAAGGTTACATGCATGTTCATAAGTATGTTTAAGTCCATGATTTCATCATGTTTTGGAAACAATTGGCTCCTTAGAGCATCAAATTGAAGCTTTGAATTGATTTGAATTCATGCATGTTTGCATGTTCTCCATATTCATGAAAATGGTTTGGAATTGATTTTCAATGAAACACCCTTGGGCTTTGATTTCTCAAAATTGAGCTTTGAACCATGTTATTCTATATGCTTATAAATGTTTTCCAGAAAATGGGCCCAA